ACCCTCGTGGGACCCTCGTGCCCCCTGACGTACTTCTGCCGCCTATATATCTCCATATACCCTAAAATGATCGGGGAGCACAATAGATCGAGACTTCCGCCGCCAGAAGCCTCCGTAGCCACCGAAAGCCAATCTAGACCCGTTCCGACACCCTGCCGGAGGGGGCAATCCCTCTCCGGTGGCCATCTTCATCGTCCCGGTGCTCTCCATGACGAGGAGGGAGTAGTTCTCCCTCGGGGCTGAGGGTATGTACCAGTAGCTATGTGTTTGATCTCTCTCTCTCTCGTGTTCTTGAGGTGATACAATCTTGATGTATCGCGAGCTTTTCTATTATAGTTGGATCTTATGATGTTTCTCCCCCCTCTACTCTCTTGTAATGGATTGAGTTTCCCCTTTGAAGTTATCTTATCGGATTGAGTCTTTAAAGATTTGAGAAAAATTGACGCATGTCTTGCCATGCGTATCTGTGGTGACAATGGGATATCACGCGATTCACTTGATGTATGTTTTGGTGATCAACTTGCGGGTTCCGCCCATGAACCTATGCATAGGGGTTGGCACATGTTTTCATTGTTATTCTCCGGTAGGAAGTTTGGGGCACTCTTTGAGGTTCTATGTGTTGGTTGAATAGATGAATCTGAGATTGTGTGATGCATATCGTATAATCATACCCACAGATACTTGAGGTGACATTGGAGTATATAGGTGACATTAGGGTTTTGGTTGATTTGTGTCTTAAGGTGTTATTCTAGTAAGAACTCTAGGGCTGTTTGTGAAACTTATAGGAATAGCCCAACGGATTGATTGGAAAGACTAACTTTGAGGTGGTTTCATACCCTACCATAATCTCTTCGTTTGTTCTCCACTATTAGTGACTTTGGAGTGACTCTTTGTTGCATGTTGAGGGATAGTTATGTGATCCAATTATGTTATTATTGTTGAGAGAACTTGCACTAGTGAAAGTATGAACCCTAGGCCTTGTTTCCTAGCATTGCAATACCGTTTACGCTCACTTTTATCATTAGTTACCTTGCTGTTTTTATAATTCTAGATTACAAAAACCTTTATCTACCATCCATATACCACTTGTTTCACCATCTCTTCGCCGAACTAGTGGACGTATACAATTTACCATTGTATTAGGTGTGTTGGGGACACAAGAGACTCTTTTTTATTTGGTTGCAGGGTTGCTTGAGAGAGACCATCTTCATCCTACGCCTCCTACGGATTGATAAACCTTAGGTCATCCACTTGAGGGAAATTTGCTACTGTCCTACAAACCTCTGCACTTGGAGGCCCAACAACGTCTACAAGAAGTAGGTTGTGTAGTAGACATCATGGTGCGGCAGCTTCAGAGCTCCTTTCATCATCTGGTGGCGTGTACGATGACCCCGCCAAATCCGGAGGGTTCTGGTGCTGACAGCCCATCGTATGGCGTGGGTCTAGACGACATGGGCCACAGACGTCCGGTTGTGCCATGGTCGTTAGCTCACGGAGCATGTAGTGTGGCAGTTGAGGTGGATGGAGCGTGTCCAGGAGGGTGGGTCCAGATCTAGCTGATGGATGGTGCGGGCTGTGGGTAGCTAGGGTTGCGGTCGACGCCTTCCTCCATGGCATCCGGGCTGAGGAGGTATTGGCGTGGTGGCGGTGGTGCCTACCTGGTGGTGCCCAGTTGGCTATGAAAACCTCCTCCCATGGCACGTGGTGGGAGGACGACGCAGGTTTGCACGGTGGACCTCAACATTGGTACGGTGGTGGTAGAGCGGATCGCACGGAGCTGATGGAAATGGGTGCTGGCTGCCACGAGGGTACCTCATTTGCAACTGAAGTTGACATGTCTAATGAGGGGCACCTTGCCCTCCTAGTGATGCTGGGTCGCAGTTGGTTGGGGACACTTGCAGGCTTCCGGTGCAGGGTAGGTTGCTCATCGCACGTATTCTCCTGATTCTCTATCAATGCAAACGCGGTTTCTTATGGCGTCGGTGACGAGTTTGTCTGAATGTGTCGGGGCGGCGACCTCGGATGACCTGCTACATGATTGGCTTTCCAGCAAGTTTCGTGGTGGTGGTGGTGGTAGCTGCACTTCTTTGTCGTGTGGGCGGCAAGGGTGTTTAGTGGCGGGTGGCTCAGGCCTGGTCCGGCAGTTCCTGAATCTAGTGTGGATATGCTGACCATCGTAGCAGTGGTGATTGGGACGCTTTTGGGTGGTGCAAGCGAGTTTCCAAGTGAAAGTTTTGCGCTTGGTGCCGGCGTGGGAGGCGCCTGTGGCTATCGCTCTCTTCGTGAAAACATCTTCGGATCTTGTCCTTGTGCGAGGGCTCTGGGTGAAAACCTTTGTCTTCTTGCTAGGATTCGGCAGCAGTGATGCTCGCTTCATATCGTCACCCTCATGAGGCTTTGTCGTTGAGCCCAGGCATCCTCAGTCAGGCCTCAGTGAGGTGTCATGCTATTTTTAGGCTTCTTATGTATCTTTTGATCTGTTTTTTAGAAGACCGCTTAACCACATTGCATTTCTCACGTCGAGATCTTAGAAATTAGATATCATTTTAATAGGTTTGGATGAACATTTTTCCTGAAAAAACAGGAAATAAAAAACTGAAAACAGAATAAAACCAAAATGTAAAACGAAAAACGGAAAAACGGGAATCCGGAAAACATACCTCATTTCAAACCAAAGGTACATTTCACTTTTTTGGGAAGCACGGTGTGCTTTTCACTTTTTCGCGAAGCATGACCATGGTTTTCACTTTTGGAAAGCATAGTTGTGCGTGATCGTGAAGCATAACTGTGCTTTTTTCGCATGCTGTGCTTCAGTAGAGATAAAAATTCTAAAACACATTTTTTAAACCTTAAAAAGCAAAGTCCAAAAAACAACTCATGTAAAAATATTGAAAAATAATGTTTTCTCCCGAGTGAGCCCAATGCCTAACCCATGACAGCATGGATCGCACCATGTGGCGAACTAGGGCAATTCCAGCAGAGCCCGCCGCGGTTGTCCCAGCTTAGAGCCTTAGACTCAGTCGTGAGGGCCTCATACGCATACACAACATGCAGGGTCGGCCCATGGGCCACACCATGGGGACCAGGCACCCTGTTGTCTTCCCGTGTCACCATTGCGGGTCTCGTCCAACGCTTTGATGGTCCAGCCCAGACATGATCAAGGACCAGTGGTGAAGAGCTAAGAATTTGGAGCCTTAAAAATTCGGGCCTTGTTCCATCCTACTGTCCGCACGCCTATAGGGGCCAGATTTCTATGAGAAGTTCATGGCTACCTCTTGTGAATGCGTTAAGTCGAAGATAGCATTAAAAATTAAGCTTTTATGTGGTATCTTGAGAGGGGAGTTGTGCTAGCCAAAAACAATCTCGCTTGTTGCAACTAGTATGGAAGAAAGAATATAGATTTATACTCGTGATGAGACAATCTAACACCTCCATTTCTATTGCAAGTTTGCGTGTTTTACGTGGTCAGTCAACCAAACAACAACCAATTTGTATCCCCACAAGTGTTGCCAATATATATGGTCACTCCTTGGCGGAATACTGAATAGGTTTAGAATGCTAATAAGGGTGGGAATGTCTGCCTTACAATGGTCTCTTTGACTAAGTAGAAATGATATTGTTTTTAATGGCCAAAATTCTTCTCCCTTGCAAATTATATTCTGATGTACGCACTGACTTCATATGTGGTGCATGCTATATCGCATGGAGTATCAACCGCTGTTTAAAATGGTGTGTATGTGATTGGAGCGGGTGGCTAGAGAGGTTTTTACCCAACATGGGTAGTAACATAATCTCAGGATCAGTCCACCTAGTCCTTTTACATAGGCATATTGTCGATCTCCTACCACTTTACTATTGCCAATATGTCATTTTAATTATTTTAGTTGGACTTGTTATTTTAGATTGGGTGCATCGTATTCATGTAGAGGCCGTGTGTCGCTCTTAATGATTTGCATCCATTTGTTGCTACATTTCCAAATAATAAATAGTGCTCAATATTGAGGAGAGAAAAAATTCTGATGGTCCATGCGATGGGAAAAAGAACCCGGCAGGAAAGGACCCTACTGTTTCTTTCAACATTTAATTAAGCGCAATCAAAATGAGTGGAATTCTCCCCATAACAAAAACTTACTTGAATTTCATGAACCATAGCTAACTTTTAAAGTACATTTGTTGCACTGTACTTTGTTGTGCCAATGCCATCAAAGGGTCTGCAGTTAGAATGAGAACAGAGCAGCAGCACCGTTGCGTGGGCAGCTACTACTTGCTCTCTGCCAAGTTTCCAGTGAAAGTATTTGACACTTGAACCCCACAATGGGAGTGCTTTTACACCCCTGAATGGCTCATGCATCATCTCCCCTCATCGATGCTATCATACGTACAGTTTAATAATTAGTAATTAATGTTGCTTGCTTTTGCCAGGCCAACGTGCATGATGTTCTATATATACGCTAATACGCATGCACAACTCTGTTTTACTCTGTAATTCTCAACTTCAACTTGATTCTTGATTCTGCGAATTCAATAAAGACTATGGGCCTGTTCTGAAGTCCTCCAACTTCAGAAAACTCCACAAATCCAGCTTCTTTTCATGGCTTCTTGCTCTACGTAGCGATTTCTTTCCGTTCGGAAATTAAATCAGCTTCTACTTCGCCATCTTTAGCTAGCAGCGGTTGTTGGGCTGTCCACCACCATATTGGGCCGGCTAGAACCAGCCCAGGATGGCTGCCGAGGGGAGACGTGGTACCTGTTTTTTTTTTGACCCGGAACAATTCATTCCATTACTAAACTGGCTCAGCAATGTCGCTGGCGACCAGAACAGAAACAAAGTCTGGGGCATACTCGATCCACGACAGATCAACAGCTCCCGATCTGAAGCCAAAAGCAGCTAACTCATTTGCTACCTTATTACAATTTCGGTTACAGAAACTGAAACTAAATGATTCAAAGTTCGCATGGCAGATACTTCGCGTCTCCCGTAGGAGGACACCGATCAGCGCTCATTCATATTCACCAGAATTGAGTGCATGGACAAGCACTTGGGAATCAGACTCAAGAATCACCCTATGGATGCCCAGTTCCGCACTTGCTTCAGTAGTTAGCACACATGCCAAAGCTTCTGCATGTAGAGGCCCTGTAAGATGCTCAAGTGTGTCGGCCTTTGCTGCCAGAAATTCACCTTGGTCAGTATGAGCAACACACCCCCATGCTCCTCTTCCTGTGTCCGCATGATAGGATGCATCAAAATTGACTTTAACGACATCAGGTGGGGGTCGCTTCCACGTAACCTTGTCCTGGGGAGGCACTTGTACAGGCTTCATAACACTTTTACTGAATTCATGAAGATACTGTCGGATAGTATAGCAGATATTGTCAGTGCACCTCATCGTCTCTCCTGCATTTACCTTGTTTCTCACTGACCACCATTCCCACAGCAGGATAAGGGAAGTATCTCACTTACTATTATCCAAGCTCCATATGTGATCAAACACCTCTCCTGGCCTAGTGCACTCCAACAGAGCACTTCTTGTATCCTCTAGCTCCAATCCTCTCCAAACTTGCTTGACAGCTTTGCATTTTATGAACATATGACCACCATCCTCATCCAGCCGGCCACACACTGGGCATCTTGTATCCAAGTCCACCCTTTTTTGTTTAATATTCATACGGAGGGGCAAGCTATTATGCGCAAACCTCCACAGAAAAATACGCACCTTCCCTGGCATCTCCAGGTTCCACAATCTTTGCCATTTATCCTCTCCCCTTCCCTGACTCAATGATGGGCCTGCATCATTGCCATTTCTTGCATCTCTTATCCGGATACCAACATGATACGCCCCTTTTACAGAGAATTTTCCTTTGGGGTCATAGTGCCATGCTACAAAATCGTCCATATCCGGTCGCACCGGGATAGCGAGGTATGGGACACATCGTCTTCATTGAAAAGGTCCCTTACTAACTGCTCATCCCAGGTTTCCCTAACCGGGTCCATTAGTTCAGAAACATGTGTGATAACTGTGTTCCCTCTTACTGATGTTGGCTTTCTAGTATCTCCTCGAGGAATCCACGGATCCTCCCACACTTTGATGTTATCACCCGACCCCACCCGCCAAACAATTCCTTCCTTGAGCAGATTAACCCCCTTCAGTATGCTTCTCCAGGTATAAGAAATACCCTCTCTTTCTGTTGCCTCAAGAAGAGAACAGTTTGGGTAGTAGCGAGCCTTCAGTACTTGCGCACATAGTGTATCCGGAGCCTCGAGTAATCGCCACCCCTGCCTAGACAACATGGCCAGATTAAAAATATGCAGATCTCTGAACCCAAGTCCTCCATCCTTCTTCGATTTCGTCATTCGTTCCCAGCTTATCCAATGACATCGGCTTTTATCTTGTTGGCTCCACCAGTACCGGGCAATAAGTGCGCTGATCTCTTCGCAAAGTTGCTTTGTGAGATCAAAACACGACATTGCGTACGTGGGTATCGCCTGAGCTACAGCCTTGATCAAGACCTCTTTCCCCGCCTTCGATAGCAGCTTTTCCTTCCACCCTTGAATCCTTTGCCAAATCTTCTGTTTCAAATATTCAAATTCCTTACTCCTGGATGCTCCAATGTGAACTGGCAGTCCCAGATATCGCTGATTAAAGGACTCTACTGCTATGCCAAGGCCAGCCAGGACAGCCCCCCGTGTGTTTACACTGGTTCCTTTACTGAACATGGCATTAGACTTCTCCTTATTAATCATTTGGCCGGATTGATCCTCATAAAGAGCTAAAATTTGCTGCAGTTTGGCTGCCCCCTCCACTGTTGCCTTCATAACAATTAGCGAATCGTCCGCAAAAAAAAGGTGGTTTATCTTTGGAGCTCCACGACATATCTGAACCCCCTGGATAGAGCCCTCCTGCTCCGCTTGGTACAACATAGCAGAGAAAGCCTCCGCACACATTATAAAGAGGTACGGTGATAACGGATCCCCTTGCCGGAGTCCTCTGCCTGGGGTGATCACTTCTGACAAACTCCTATTAATCTTTACCCTGTATGAAACTGATCTAACGCACTTCATAATCAGGTGCACCCACTGTTCAGCGAAACCCATTTTGATCATGACCCATTCTAGAAAGCCCCACTCAACGTGGTCGTACGCTTTGCTTATATCAAGCTTCACCGCCACCAGTCCCTTGCGCCCTCCCTTCCGTTTATGCATCAGGTGAGTGATTTCATATGCCAGGAGCACGTTATCGGTGATCATCCGACCGGGGACAAATGCTGACTGTGTTGGCGAGATGATTTCAGGCAGGATTTCCTTGAGCCGATTTGCAAGTACCTTTGAGATCAACTTGTATAAAACATTACAAAGGCTTATAGGCCTAAACTCAGTGACCTTCTCTGGGTTTTTAACCTTGGGTATGAGCACAATAGTAGTTTCGTTCCATCCATTCCGCATCGGAGCACCATTCAGCACACCCAGCAATTCCTCCTTCACTTTTGGCCCGACCAGCTCCCAAAACCGCTTATAGAATATGGCCGGCATGCCATCCGGACCTGGTGCTTTCAAATTACCAATGGAATTTAGGGCCTCCTTTACTTCCTATTCTGTGAATTCACGAGGTAGGCGAGAGTTCATATCGTGTGTGACTGAGGTGTGCATGTGGGACAGCACCTCGTCGTTGGCGATACCTGCAGAAGACATGAACAAACTTTTGTAGTGGTCAGTAATAATTTTTCCTATCTCCTCTTCTCCCTCCACTACCTCACCCCCTTCCTTTCTAAGCTTCTTTATCGTATTCACCCTCTGAAGGAAATATGCCCTAGAGGCAATAATAAAGTTATTATTTATTTCCTTATATCATGATAAATGTTTATTATTCATGCTAGAATTGTATTAACCGGAAACATAATACATGTGTGAATACATAGACAAACTTAGTGTCACTAGTATGCCTCTACTTGACTAGCTTGTTGATCAAAGATGGTTATGTTTCCTAACCATGAACAAAGTGTTGTTATTTGATTAACGAGGTCACATCATTAGTTGAATGATCTGATTGACATGACCCATTCCATTAGCTTAGCACCCGATCGTTTAGTATGTTGCTATTGCTTTCTTCATGACATATACATGTTCCTATGACTATGAGATTATGCAACTCCCGTTTGCCGGAGGAACACTTTGGGTGCTACCAAACGTCACAACGTAACTGGGTGATTATAAAGGAGCATTACCGGTGTCTCCAAAGGTACATGTTGGGTTGGCGTATTTCGAGATTAGGATTTGTCACTCCGATTGTCGGAGAGGTATCTCTGGGCCCTCTCGGTAATGCACATCACATAAGCCTTGCAAGCATTGCAACTAATGAGTTAGTTGCGAGATGATGTATTACGGAACGAGTAAAGAGACTTGCCGGTAACGAGATTGAACTAGGTATTGGAATACCGACATCGAATCTCGGGCAAGTAACATACCGATGACAAAGGGAACAACGTATGTTGTTATGCGGTCTGACCAATAAAGATCTTCGTAGAATATGTAGGAGCCAATATGGGCATCCAGGTCCCGCTATAGGTTATTGACCGGAGACGTGTCTCGTTCATGTCTACATTGTTCTCGAACCCGTAGGGTCCGCACGCTTAAGGTTACGATGACAGTTATATTATGAGTTTATGCATTTTGATGTACCGAAGGTTGTTCGGAGTCCTGGATGTGATCATGGACATGACGAGGAGTCTCGAAATGGTCGAGACATAAATATTGATATATTGGAAGCCTATGTTTGGATATCGGAAGTGTTCCGGATGAAATTGGGATTTTACCGAAGTGCCGGGAAGGTTACCGGAACCCCCTGGGAGCTAAATGGGCCATGATGGGCCTTAGTGGAAAAGAGAAGAGGCAGCCCTACATGGGCTGTGCGCCTCCCCCTTCCCCTAGTCCTATTAGGACTAGGAGAGGTGGTCGGCCCCCTCCTTCTCTTTTCCCCCCTCCGCGAATCCTATTCCAACTAGGATTGGGGCGGAATCCTACTCCCAGAGGGAGTAGGACACTCCTGGCGCACCCCTTGTGTCCGGCCAGCCTCCCCCCCCCCCCATTTGGTCCTTTATATACTGGGGTAGAGGCACCCTAGAACACACAAGTTGATCCACGTGATCTATTCCTTAGCCGTGTGCGGTGCCCCCAGCCACCATATTCCTCGATAATACTGTAGCAGAGTTTAGGCGAAGCCCTGCTGCTGTAGTACATCAAGATCGTCACCACGCCGTCGTGCTGACGGAACTCTTCCCCGACACTTTGCTGGATCGGAGTCTAGGGATCGTCATCGAGCTGAACGTGTGCTCGAACTCGGAGGTGCCGTAGTTTCGGTACTTGATCGGTTGGATCGTGAAGACATACGACTACTTCCTCTACGGTGCGTCAACGCTTCCGCAGTCGGTCTGCGTGGGTACGTAGACAACACTCTCCTCTCTCATTGCTATGCATCACATGATCTTGCGTGTGCGTAGGAAATTTTTTGAAATTACTACGAAACCCAACAGTGGCATCCGAGCCTAGGTTATTTATGTTGATGTTATATGAGTAGAACACAAGTGAGTTGTGGGCGATATAAGTCATACTGCCTACCAGCATGTCATACTTTGGTTTGGCGGCATTGTTGGACGAGACGACCCGGACCAACATTACGGGTACGCTTACGCGAGACCGGTTCCCCCGACGTGCTTTGCACATAGGTGGCTTGCGGGCGACAGTCTCTCCAACTTTAGTTGAACCAAGCGTGGCTACGCCCGGTCCTTCCGAAGGTTAAAACGGAGTCTATTTGACAAACTATCGTTGTGGTTTTGATGCGTAGGTGAGATTGGTTCTTGCTTAAGCCCGTAGCAGCCACATAAAACTTGCAACAACAAAGTAGAGGACGTCTAACTTGTTTTTGCAGGGCATGTTATGATGTGATATGGTCAAGACATGATGCTGAATTTTATTGTATGAGATGATCATGTTTTGTAACCGATATATCGGCAACTGGCAGGAGCCATATGGTTGTCGTTTTATTGTATGCAATGCAATCGCGATGTAAAGCTTTACTTTTATCACTAAGCGGTAGCGATAGTCGTAGAAGCATAAACTTGGCGAGACGACGACGATGCTACGATGGAGATCAAGGTGTCACGCCGGTGATGATGGTGATCACGATGGTGCTTCGGAGATGGAGATCACAAGCACAAGATGATGATGGCCATATCATATCACTTATATTGATTGCATGTGATGTTTATCCTTTTATGCATCTTATCTTGCTTTGATTGACGGTAGCATTATAAGATGATCTCTCACTAAATTATCAAGAAGTGTTCTCCCTGAGTATGCACCGTTGCGAAAGTTCTTCGTGCTGAGACACCACGT